ATGAGGGTAAGGCCTCCGTGGCGGGGTCCATCCACCCGTCCATGGACGGCGCAACTGGCTCTGAATTGAGGGTCGGAGCGGCTCCCGATGCGATCTCCTGGACACTGTCGGATGGTAGAGCTAAATCACACTCATCATGACCGCGTGACGCACAAGGCAGAGGCTCGAATCCGTCGAAGATCAAGTCTCCGCGGATATCGGCCGTGTAGTTTAAGCTTCCAAACCTGACCTGATGGCCAGGGCGTAGCTTTCAATCTGCTCCAGATGGCCAAGCAAATTGGCCCACAGTGCAAAGCCGCCGAATACAAAAATCTGTCCGGGGAGAAAAGTCTCACCCTGGACTGCATCGCTAACGATGATAGAAGGAGCCATCAAGCCTAACGGCGACGACACAGAGGAACTCTCAATGAAAGCACCAATGTCAGTGTCAAAACCGGCGGATCTCGGGTAGGGGGTCCCGAACTATGCGTCTAAGGCGGGTGGTAACAGGAGACAGGGAACACGATGTTTTACCCAGGTCCGGGCCCTCTTGATGGAGGTAAAACCCTACGTCCTGCTCAATTAATATTGATGATATGGGTAGTACAAGAGTAGATCTACCATGAGATCAGAGAGGCTAAACCCTAGAAGCTAGCCTATGGTATGATTGTATGTTATTGTTGTGTCCTACGGACTAAAACCCTCCGGTTTATATAGACACCGGAGAGGGCTAGGGTTACACAAGGTCGGTTACAAAGGAGGAGATATACATATCTGTATTGCCTAGCTTGCCTTCCACGCCAAGGAGAGTCCCATCTGGACATGGGACGAAGTCTTCAATCTTGTATCTTCATAGTCCAGCAGTCCGGCCAAAGGATATAGTCCGGCTGTCCGGAGACCCCCTAATCCAGGACTCCCTCACCGGGTGTAATGCTTAAACCTTTTAAGTAATAAAGCGCCCCTTTTCAAAAAAAAGTGTGGAAACTACAATTCGATGCCATGAGGTATATGTATTGTTGAATATATGGTTTTGCATGTATACTGTATATCCTGGCCCACCTCCTAGTCTTTGTATAGTAGATGTTGAGGCCCATAGTGTACACCATATATACATTTTATAGACTTCTTCTTCTAACTTGAGCACAATTTTCCTTTCCATCATTTTCACGAAAGACATTATAAAGATGAAGCATATGAGGCAACCTCAATTCCATTTTTCTATAGTTTTCTTTTATAGACTAAACTAGTGATAAACAAGAAACTAAAAGATTCAATTGCAAGATCTAAAGATATACCTTCAATCACTAACCTCCCCGGCAACGGCGCCAGAAAAGAGCTTGATGTCTACTACGCAACCTTCTTCTTGTAGACGTTGTTGGGCCTCCAAGTGCAGAGGTTTGTAGGACAGTAGCAACTTTCCCTCAAGTGAATGACCTAAGGTTTATCAATCCATGGGAGGCGTAGGATGAAGATGGTCTCTCTCAAACAACCCTGCAACCAAATAACAAAGAGTCTCTTGTGTCCCCAACACACCCAATACAATGGTAAATTGTATAGGTGCACTAGTTCGGCGAAGAGATGGTGATACAAGTGTAATATGGATGGTAGATATAGGTTTTACTAATCTGCAAATATAAAAACAGCAAGGTAGCAAGTGGTAAAAGTGGGCGAAAACGGCATTGCAATGCTTCTAAACAAGGCCTGGGGTTCATACTTTCACTAGTGCAAGTTCTCTCAACAATGATAAAAAATTGGATCATATAACAATCCCTCAATGTGCAACAAAGAGTCACTCCAAAGTCATTAATAGCGGAGAATAAACGAAGAGATTATTGTAGGGTATGAAACCACCTCAAAGTTATTCTTTCTGATCGATCTATTGGGCTATTCACAAACAGCCATAGAGTTCGTACTAAAATAACACCTTAAGACACACATCAACCAAAACCCTAATGTGACCTAGATACTCCAATGTCATCATACAATCTCACATTTATCTATTCAAACCAACACAAAGAACTTCAAAGAGTGCCCCCAAAGTTTCTACCACAAAGTCAAGACGAAAACGGTGTGACAACCCCTATGCATAAGTTCACAAGGTCACAGAACCCGCAAATTGATCACCAAAACGTACATCAAGTAGATCACGTGAATATCCCATTGTCACCATAGATGAGCACATGCAAAGACATACGTCAAGTGTTCTCAAATCCTTAAAGACTCAATCCAATAAGATAACTTCAAAGGGGAAACTCAATCCATTACAAGAAGGTAGAGGGGGAGAAACATCATAAGATCCAACCTTAATATCAAAGCTCACGGTACATCAAGATCGTGCCAAATCAAGAACACAAGAGAGAGAGAGAGAGAGAGAGAGAGAGAGAGAGAGAGATCAAACACATAGCTACTGGTACATACCCTCAGCCCAGAGGGTGAACTACTCCCTCTTTGTCATAGAGTGCGCCGGGATGATGGATATGGCCACCGGTGATGATTCCCCCTCCGGCAGGGTGCCGGAATAGGGTCTCGATTGGTTTTTGGTGGCTACAGAGGCTTGCGGCGGCGGAACTCCCGATCTAGATTCTATTCTGGAGGTTTGGGGATATATAAGAGGTGTTGGCATCGGGAACAAGTCAGGAGGACCCATGAGGCAGCCACAAGGTAGGGGGCGCATCCTAGGGGGGCGCCCTCCACCCTTGTAGTGGCCTCAGGACTCTTCTCCGGTATCTTTTCGTTATAGTATTTTTTATATTTTCCAAAAATAATCTCCGTAAATTTTTAGGTCAATTGGACTCCGTTTGATATTCTTTTTTGCGAAACTCAAAAACAAGGAAAAAACAGAAACCGGCACTGGGCTCTAGGTTAATAGCTTAGTCCCAAAAATCATATAAAATAGCATATAAATGCATATAAAATATCCAAGATAGATAATATAATAGCATGGAACAATCAAAAATTATAGATACATTGGAGACGTATCAATGGGCCGACCCAGTACCATTGCCACCGGAAAATGCTTTAGGCATGAGAAGTTTATGTCTTGCTATAGGTGAGATATAGCTTGTGCCTTGCTATGCATCGCTCGAACTCTCCTACAACATGCACAGTTTGGCCGCCCCAGTAATGTATCATACCTCTTCAAGCGATTTTCCTGATGTATGTTCCCTATCGCTTTGATTTATATCTATTTCCAAGTTCATGTTTGTTTCCCATTTCATTTTTTGATTTTGATTGTTCCCTCATTGACAAAATAAACGCAAGAACAAATAAATTTTCCATGAAACTTTTTTTAAAATAGTGCATTTAAAAAAATGATTATGAAGTATTTTCAAGAATGTCATCATTCATTTGGAAAAATGTTCAGCGCTATTTTAGAAACAAATCTATGTATTATAAAAAATATTCTTCATGCATTTAAAAAAATGTTCTATGTCTTTTTAGAAAATTCACCATGTATTAATAAAATTATTTTGTAAAATTATTCTTACATTTTCAAAACGCGTTGAACATTTAGTTAACATATTTCTAGATTATTATTGTAAATAAAAAATACTTTTAATACATGTTAAAATTCAAAATATAGAAAGGTACACACTTAATGAAGATACAATGTTTTTTAGAGACAATGTTGTATTTTAATGTCAGCATTTTTAATAATGGTGTATTTTAAAGACAATGTTTTTTGGGGGGTATTTTAAAGACAAACTTAATGAAGATACACACCCATTTCTGCTTGCTTGTGGACCTGAATGAACATACGTAATTTTTTTCTTACATTTCTATATTTGTAAATCCACCAATATATAAAAACAATTCACGTTTACCTCTTCGAGGGATTCAATAATAAAAATCCAATGAAGATTTAAAGTACAAAGTAATTGTGCATTAGTAATTATTGCAATGTTTTTTACATTTCTTTTTTGAATGTAAAACAAATAAAAAGGTAAAATAATCATGTGCTTGAAAAGGAAAAACAGATAGAAAACACACGTGTGGTAAATCTCTTCAAGAGATAGGCTACACTCCTGGGACTTGCCTTTTATGCCTTCTATGACAAGGACGAGGAGTCAAGGAGTATGCCTATGAGCTGAAGAATTACATCCAAAAACAGGTTTGAGCTCCAAAAACAAGTTTTTTTACTGTTCACACCAGGAGCATTTGAGCTGAGTATAGAAAGGTACTTCTGCTGATGACCACACATTATCAGCTATATGCCATTGAGCTTCTGAATATGTGAAAGATGGAAGGCAGCAGCTCGTCGGAGATGGGTATCCACTCTTCTGCCCGCAGCTGCCTCGGCGAGAGGCAAACACTCGGTGAGGAAAGAGACGCCGTGGTCTGTGGCAATTCGTCTCACACCAGAGACGCCATGTCCTGCTGAGGTAAATGCCATGGACCATGGCGTCTTCCATGCAACTCAAACGCCATGGTGAATGACGTCAACATGAAAGGTTCAAATCAGTTTTTTTAAGGGGATTAAATTGTGATTTTGGCAACAAAAAAAGTCAAAACAGTGATTTTGGCCGGAAGAAGTAGCGCAAGCGCTTTGGCCTGAAGAGGGGAATCTGCTGTTGATGCTTGGATCTGAATCTGTGTACCCGCCTGTATATCCTGTGTATCTACGAACAAACCAATTCCAATAGTTGTACCAGAAGACTGCCTTCCAAGGATCTTGAAGCATTTAAAAGCCACATCCCAGAAGACCTTAATATAGGACGTTTTGGCAGTTTAATTTAAACAACCAAATCGTCAGCGCCACCCATACTCCCTTAGCTATGGTCACTAATGAGTAGCGCATCTAGGTTAAATGGAAGGCAAATGTTTTCTTGGGCACCTTCCGGAAGTTATCAGCCTGGTTAGTGAGCCTGTCAAGCTAGAAGAGTATGTTTCACATTTGATGCTTTCAGTTGCAATGCAGAGACACATAGATTCATGTATGAATAAACAAGTTTGAACAAATGTTTGCTACTGTTACACTACAGATTTCAATACAACGGTCGGTAGGCCTGCTGTGACAGCGACTACAACCTTATTGGTTGCTCTGCTGATTGTTGGCGCTGCAAGGGAGGTGCATTATCAGCTTCTTGTGAGGGAGTTGACCCGCTTGTAGATGGCTTCGCGCCAGCTGAAACAACATTCTTGAACCATGTTCCTTGGAAAGTAGGGCTGCCTCTATTTTGTTCACCAGGAGACTCTTGTGAAGCCTGGTTTTTCGAAGTCAGGCCTGCCATAAATCTATATGCTACTCTACTAGCATTGACAATTTCTGTTTTAGCCTGCCTGAACTGCAAAACATAAAGTTGCAACAAGAGAAAGCATGTCAAGGAGAATAATCAATACAATATGTATAAGCAAGATAATGGGAAAATTATGGAATAAGTGAATAACAATGAACCCATAACAGTACACGTAAACGTTATTTCAAAGCTTCAATCCAAAGGCACGAAATACAAAAACTAATAAACACATAGGGTATTTAGCGAGCATATAGCATCTTGATGAAGAAAATATGAACAAAGAAAGTGCCCAAAATCAGGGAAACAAAGAGCGAGACAACCAAATAGAACAGAGAATTGCAACATTACTTTTAAAACTAACTGTCTTCAATTGAAGAACACCAATTATAATATTAAAAAGCAAATAAACATACATTCAGATTAGTCAAGTACCCAAGATGGACATGGCATGAACAGAGACTAAAACAGAAAGCATGCTAAGGCCAAACTAATTAGTTTTTTTGGCAAAATCTTAACTGATTAGGTAAAAACTGATTTTCCCTTGCTTGTAGTATGCATTTTTCTGAAGTTTTGACATCTATTTGTACCATCACATTAATATTAGAAAACAACGGGTACAAAGTCAAACAAACAATTATGCAACATGGCCGCGAATTCCGTGCATTCATATGGTGGCAGCATGGTTCAGACATTCAGGACTTGCCGGCACTAAGTGTGGCTGCCACAAAAAGTGTGGCTAACAAAATGACCACCACAAGTGTGGCAAGATTTGGCAAAAAAATTGAGCCTATGACATGTGGACCATATAACTAGAAAAGTGTGGCAATGAACCAAACACATGCCTAAGATGTTGTGGCATGACTAAGGTTAGGTGTGGCAAACTTAGGCTGGGAACCAAACAGGCCCTAACACTCGATCACATGCAGTGCAGCATGTTCAATTTACCGAGACAATATTTCCTACTTATAAAGATTGGAGTTGGTGGTGAGTTCACATGTGGGTCCAACATCCTTTCCAAATAAACAAATACGAGCATCCCCACATGTGGAACAAGCAATCTTCCAAAAGAGATATAAACAAATATACTTTACTCACATGTGGGATCTATCATAAATAAATAAACACACTACTTTCATGTGAGACCAACTTTTTTGTAGAAGGCACAAATAACAAACACAAAATTGTGACTTCAACTCAAAATCGATCTTGGTTTTAGTTCCTCTTCCCAACCTACTATGGTCATTTGAAATTCTCTGACATTGCATGCCCCTCACCGTATTTTTGCTATCTTTACTAATCGTAAATTGTGCAATGGACACAAGGACACTAACGTTATTTGACCACCTCCTAAGCCAATGGCTCCTTGGCAACGCACGGGCATCATGCTAGTAATGTTTAAAATTCTGCGGAAATAGACGACTCGCTATCACTAAACCAACCCTAATTTTGCATGCCATGCAGTCACACAAAAAAAGGTAGGAGGTAATACAATGATCCTTGATTTAATGATGAGGTCAAGGATTAAGAAAACCATAATTGCTTATATGCCAAGATATTGGCTGGTATGAATCAATTGCGATGCCAATTTGTCACATCTATCACAAAAATAAATTGCTTTGAAATACCATATTTGAAAATGAGGGCAGGGCCTAAATCTGGTATCTCTGTCGATATGCCCCTTAACTTGCAGATTGTAATAATGATGTACTGCTGAGATACTGTTATGAAATATCTATGCAACGCAGAACGAACTAAACTCATAACAGTTAGGATAGTGTAACACAGCAAATAATCGCGCATGGAAGTAGTCCACGAATACAACAGTTTTGTTATCAGAAGACAAAAGGACTGGCGCACATACGAACAGATTAAATACACACCTTAACTGCTGTATTCTCAGCAACCACCACAGCTGTATCGCCGGCATTGGCAAAACGATTAACCCAGCCTGCAAGGTTCAATATACAAGGTCAGCCAAATAAAAATAAATCGATTGTTAAGTCATTTCAAATCTGAATGGGAATACTACATGCTAGCAAGACAGATAACAATCGGGAAAGTGATATCTCCATCACTCAAGGCGTCTAGTGGCATATAGCTTAAAATTCATGCAATAATCCAAGTTAGCTTACCGAAGTTAACTCATCAAGTCCTACGCTATGTAGTTTTCATACATTAGAAATCTTATCCTAAAGACTTTTTATACGTTAATCATCTTATAATAGTAAGCTTCAGGTGTGAGGAGCTTCAGGTGTGAGGGAACAGCAGTTTATCTTCCGACATCCCAATTTCCATACTATAATAGTACTAACAAAAATAATGTTCCAAGTCGAGCGCACTAAAACCAATCGAACATAGCATAATTGACTTCACGTGGCCCTAGTAAACGGAAATGGGCTGCTAGACTGCTAATAACCCTAAATGGTGAAAAACTCAGGGCTCCCAGGCTCCAGAATTCATAAAACCTAGACACTTAGACCACGTAAGGCGTAGTGGATTACAATAACCCCATTTGCCCAACCAGTTTTTGACTATTTATTACTCCCTCCATCCCATACTAATTGACGCTCAAACGGATGTATCTAGCACTGAAATACGTCTAGATACATCCTTTTGAGCGTCAATTAATATGGGACGGAGGTAGTATTTGGTTAACTAGTTTTTTTTCCTGTTTTTCTTACCATTCCTGATCAGATCACAAAACAAGTTTCAGGCAGCACAGTTCAGCAACGTAAACTGAGCCTTGCAAGTTGTACAAATATAGAGTTCCAGCGGAAGATAGATAGCTCCTCATGGTCTTAAAAGGCCATGGGCACCGGTCCTATCATGTTGAGGTGAATCTCCTCTACTTGTAAGGCAATTGACACCTTCAAGTGAAAGCAATATTAGCTAAATAGTCCTTATAGCCCGCACCACTCTTTCCAGCCACATCCACTCTCCTCCCAAGACATTTAACACCTTCTAGATAACACAATCCCTTCCGCTTAATGTGCACCACCGATCATCGGCTCTCAAACAAGTCTACTACGCTACTGAAGTTCAAGTTCAACACTTCAACATGACCGATCCTATATAGCTGAGTAGCAATATGCAAATGTCCTTGGCTTTCACCACAGAAATTAGCTACACAATATAGTGGTGGGAACGGAAACATTTCGAGTTACGGTCACTGACAATTGGGCCCCTATTACCAGCTTTCCTTTTCTTTCTTGTTGCTACTGGTTCCCGTTTCACGGTTGCGATTAACCAGCAACGTAGTTGAAAGATACAAGGTGAAATGCATCAACAGACATTCTAACTACTATCTGCCGGCTGAAAACTATCCCCAAACTCTCTGTGAAAGGCTCGGCGTCACAACAGCATCCAATTCAACTTCAGTTTATTTTCCTAGTCAATCCAATCTCATTAACTAAACTGGAATCCTCCTATCGGTACGGTGGCATCAACAAAGTTGTGAATTACTTTTACCACCAGAGATTTGGTATCCTTTCAGGGTCAGATATACATTTGGAATCCACCTATCGGTACTGACTACCACAGTGGCTAATCAGAAGAACAAAGCTCCTAATCTCCTCCGATTTCGCAACAAAAGAAAAAACTCCTCCGATTCTTTACCTGGAAGCTTGGGGACGCCGAGCCTGTCGCAGAGCACGTCGCAGAAGTGGTTGCAGTTCCTGGAAAGGAGGTCGTAGGAGTGCCCTGGCCAGTCGCGGCTGAGCTCGCGCAGGATCCTGTTCACGGTGGCTATGGTGCACTCCGTCTCCCCGAGGACGATGCGCTCGCGGTATGTGTACATGGGGTTCTTGCTCACGGGGCAGCTGAACACCCCGCTGCCGTTCTCGCAGAACCCGAACGACCACTCCTCCTCGCCATAGACCTGCACGCGACACATCGGGAAATGAGAATTGGGGATCTGGAGGAGGTGGGGGTAAGCACGCAGGCAGAATGCGTCGCCGGGATCCGGGAGAGCGGGAGGCGCAGGGTGGAGGACCTGGACGGCGCTGTGGAAGATGCCGCCGAGGCCGATGCGGTCCTTGAAGATGCGGTTGATCTGGAGGATGGTGTTGTTGGTCTTTTCGGAGTCGCTGTTGGTCACGTCGTACACGTGGAGCACCACCTCCTTCATCTCGTCGACGGGCAGCCCCTCCCCTCCGGCCCTTCCTCCCCCTCTCCGGCGGCGGCGACGGCGGCGGAGCGGTTGGGGTGAACCGGGGAGGGGGATCGAATCGTCGGCGGGCGGGTGGTTGCTTTGCAGGTGGTGGCCGTGGTGGTCACGTCCTCGGTACGGGTATTCTTATCGGCGATGGGATCGGGAACATTTCGAGTTACGGCCACTGACTATTGGGCCTCCATTACCAGCTTTCCTTTTTCATTCTTGCTGCCGCTGGTTCCATTTCACGGGCGCTGGCAACTTCTAAAAAAATAGAGACACACCACTCGGTTATCACTTATGGGAAAATATCATGTGCTCACATCCATCCTTGGGGTGTTCCCCATGCTCCAACTTCAAAACATTAATTGTAAATGTTTCAAACAATTCTGAAAAAATTGTGAATGTTCACGTGTAAGAGTAGCGATCTCCCTTTAGATTAATCTCACTCCAACACAAGGTTTAGTACATGATGGTGATTACCGAGGAATGGTTACACTAATGGAGGAAGAACACATGAACTGGAGGAAAGGGAAAGGAAGGAGATAGGGGAGAGAGGTAGCCGCCGCCGGTTCGTTGATCCACCGGATGACTAGAGCTTCCTCCACTTGTTGGTACTTGTACTCTTCAACTTCGGTAGTCTGATGGGCCCGGCCCATGTACCGGTCCAGGGGCAGGCCCACATACCCATCAGGAGGGGCTCCTGACATCCCTCCCTTCTTGAAATTCGGCTTGACCCCAAGCCGACGCCACCGAAAACCCCCTCGGATCCCATTGCAGGTGATGTTGCTTGACCTAGACGTAGTCACAATGGCGGTCGAAACAGGAGTGGACTTCAACGAAGTAGGAGCGGTAGTTGTGGCTGATGGAAGCTCCACCAAAGAAGGCGTCGAGGACGTAGCCCTTGTCAACACTGCTGTGGTCGAAGCCGAGGTAGTGCTCATGGTTGACAGAGCCTTGCGCGAAGACGGCGGCGACGGTGATGACACCCCTCCCTTCTTGAAAATGATATTGATTGTAGCCTGTAGAGAATGTCATACCACTCATGGCCGGTGCTCCCCTGCTGATTATCTTCACAAAACCAGGACTATTTCCTCCATGAAAATGTTCTTGTGGGCAGCCAGAAGAGAACTGCATGGCATCCACCACATGTTGGTCATCTTGAAACATTATTTGACAGTGAGTAATATATTCCCATGGGTGAGAAATCTGAACTGACAATGTCTTGTTACTGGAGCCAGGATCCCAAGACTTCTCAAGGTGACGTGCACTACCTGATTTACTGCCAAGCCATTGAGCAAGCCCAACTTCGAAGAGCCTTACATAAATCTTAAGAATAGGCACAAATCCAGTAATGGTTGTCATGGGAAATAAGAGCCGCTGAGTGAACATGGCTGCAACAGGGGATGGCCATGGGTGTTTTGGTTGGACTGATGGTAAACAAAAGGATACGTAGGGTAACTTGCCCAAGAGAAAAGCACCAAACCCACGGCCCATCCGACAGTTGTCGCATTGGACATCATATAATTGAATTCATGAACTGGAGATACCCTCAAACAAGAACTTGCAAACCCATTGATACGACTGTTCACAGGTTGAGTTACCATCGAAGTCGGTGCTTCTTCATAGCTGAGCGGCATCAAAATCACACACTTGCAATCCTCTGGGCGCCATACTGATGTATCATATTTGAGCTCTTTCACTAAATTACTCGAACCATTGTTCTCCACTATAGCTAAGCATTCTCCAAATTCTTTCATAGTCTGAAGAAAGGGATGTTGATGACTGTAATCTCTAGGGGCATTGACTGCACAGGAATTTGAATAGGCTGCAAGGTTTCCAACAAGAAAATCTGTACGTGGAAATAATGTCCTCTCAAGCTGTAACACCAACAATGCCCTGCTAGTAGCACTCGTGCATAAAGGATGCAGCCCATGTTTTATCATATAAGAAATCGTCTCAGTGCACTGCTCTAGCTCAATCATAATCAATAAAGTTCCCACCAGATGGATCCCAAAGCTAGATGTACTGATATCCTGAGTAGCAACCCAAACCCGAGTCAACTCCGAAAGAACACCAGTGATGTGCGGAAATTCAGAATTCGTTCTCAAGTTTCTCCTGAACTCTGTAGCAAAATTGGTTGGCCATGGAGGTTGGGTTTGCAGCAACCGCACATGCTCCCCTGATTGGGTGAAAAATGGATTAAGTCGAATTAGAATAAACATGTTTCCCACCAAGTGAATGCCAACACCTAGGAAAATGTTGCTAGTGATTTTCTTGCTATGTACTTCAGTATACTGCACTCTCCTTTCATGAACACTGCTTGGATATATAACTGAATGACCTGAACAATACTTCTCTGTTGTAGTTGTACTTATGGGCTCTACAACTGAATTTTTTTGAATCGTTGTTCTTGAGCATAATTGTAGGTACGAGGTCCCTTAATTGTGCCACAATCTGTAGGACCCTTTTATGCATTGTGCGGAGTACTACTCCATGAGCAAGAAGCACATTGTGCCACTCTACAAGATGACATGAGCGGCACCATAAAAACTGAATTGGTATGCATGCCACCGTTCAGTCAACCCTTGAGTAGAGTGAGTAGTTACACAAACCCCCAAAATCTTCTTAAATATGTGAGTAACCATCTTCCATACCTGTATTGCTCTGAAGTTGCCTGAAAATGGTGGCCACAATAGCTCCAGCGGCATATTCTCTTGATCACGTACTTCATAAGAGGACTGCACAAAAGAGATCACCGACCACCACTCTGCAGCAGACAAGTGTAAACCATCCATTATTGGCATTATCAGCAAACTTGAGACATGGGTATTTCTTTATCTAGGAGGAATCCCGCAAGCAACCTTCTCACAAAGACATGGCTTCAGCTTTTCATCTGCTTGATCCACCAGAAATGATGGCCAAGGTGTTGGCCATAGCAGCAGGCCCTGATGCCTTGTGTGTGGCGAAATGTCCCATACATGGTTCAAGTGAGGGAGTCCTGGACTAAGGGGTCCTCGGGCGTCCGACCTATGGGACATGGGCCGAACTGATGGGACGTGAAGATACAAAGGCCGAAGACTCTACCCGTGTCCGGATGGGACTCTCCTTGGCGTGGAAGGCAAGCTTGGCGTTCAAATGTATAGATTCCTTTCTCTGTAACCGACCTAATGTAACCCTAGATCCCTCCGGTGTCTATATAAACCGGAGGGCTAGGTCCGTAGACATATATCCTCATAATCATAGTCAGGCTAGGCTCTTAGGGTTTATCCATTACGATCTCGTGGTAGATCAACTCTTGTAATACTCATATTCATCAAGATCAATCAAGCAGGAAGTAGGGTATTACCTCCACAGAGAGGGCCTGGACCTGGGTAAACATTCTGTCCCCTGTCTCCTGTTACCATCGATCCTAGACGCATAGTTCGGGACCCCCTACCCGAGATCCGCCGGTTTTAACACCGACATTGGTGCTTTCATTGAGAGTTCCACTATGCCGTTGTCAAAAGGATTGATGGCTCCTTCTACCATCTTCAACGATGCTGTCCAAGGGGAAGTCTTCCTCCTCGGACATATATTCGTATTCGGCGGCTTCGCACTGCGGGCCAACTCGCTTGGCCATCTGGAGCAGATCGAAAGCTACGCCCCTGGCCATCGGGTCAGATTTGGAAGCTTGAACTACGTCGTGGATATCCATGGAGACTTGATCTTCAACGGATTCGAGACCACGGCAGCCGCTCCCTGCCACTACGATGAACACGACGTAAATCTGTCATCTGAACATACCCAGGAGATAGCACATGTAGCTGCCTCGGCTTTAGATCCGGAGCAGATAGCGCCATCTGAGGATGGGAAGTTCAACCCTGCCACAGAAGCAGCAGACTCAGCGGCGTTGGAGCCGCACACAAACTTAACTTCAAGAGACATCTATGTCACCTGAACCATGGACTCGCCTCCGGTTGCAGGTTCCGAACCTTGTGCGTCCACGTACGTCGAGCTTGACCGGTCATCAATCGTCGAATTCAGCTCCGCGGACATCTTCCGACACTCACCTTTGGGAGACATGTTAAACTCGTTAAGAGCACTATCCTTAGCGGGGGGCTCATAGACGAATTGTATCCGGTTCGAGCCGGAGGCTGATGACGGAGAATTTCGCTTCCCACCCACCGTCCACTTCATAGCCACCGTCGAAGACTTAACTGACATGCTCGATTACGGCTCCGACGACATCGAGGGTATGGACGATGACGCCAGAGAAGAAAAGGCCCAAAACCCGCCGTTTACCGACTACCACTTCCTCGTATGGCGTATACATGGTGGATGCACCAAAAGAGAATAGCGGCGATGACAAGGAAGATCCAGGTGAGGATAAACCTCCCAAGATACAATCAAAGCGACAGCATCAGCGGCGCCGCTCTAAGTCACGCCGCAACAAAGACAACAACACCGGCACAGGAGAAGATAACACTCCGGAAGGTGCCGAAGACAACAAAGGCCCCGTGGAGGCAACTGCCGAACAAAACGAATGGGAAGACGGGCAAGTTAGCCTTGATGAACAGGCCACGCACGAAGACTCGGAGGATAGTAATTATCTTCCGCTCTCCGAGGATGAGGCGAGCCTTGGCACTGAGGATTTCATCATGCCCGAGGAACCTCTAGAGCAGGAGCGCTTTAAACGCCGGCTAATAGCCACTGCAAGGAGCCTGAAAAGAAGAAGCAGCAGCTTCAAGCTGACCAAGATCTGCTCAACGACAGATGGACTTATGTCCTAGCAGCCGAAGAACATGACCTTAAGCGCCCAGCCAAAAGCTATTCGAAGCGCAAATTGCTACCTCAGTTCGACGACGAGGCGCCGGAGCACATACCATCATCGCGCAATGCGGCTGACCGACCACCACGTGGTCGGGATAAAGCGGCAACTCAAGCCGAACACCAGCCCGCCCCGCCTCATCATAAAGGCAGAGGTAAAACAGCTC